TATACTAAATGTACCACTCTGTAACTCCCCATCCTAGACAGAGCTGGAAATATGGAACATTTGACCAGATGCCTGGAAGCTTTGATGGTCTGGATCTTATTCTATCCATTCTGATTATTATGCTGGACTACATGGTAATCTCCTTGAAAGATGAGGCCTGTAACCAAGTGTCCTCCTGGATTAACAGTTACTGCTGAAAGAGTAAAAGAAAACTGTTTTTCTGATTTTGGTTGATATGTCAGTTGTGACCTTACATGGAGCAAGAGGACATAATGGTAGTAACGTATGCTCCCATTACTACTAGGATAGCCTACCATAACTTGTTTTACATACAGTAAGTCTCTCTTTTAAGACTCTTGGAGATTAAAATTGATGCAGAATGCAAGAGGTTGCATTATGGTGACTGAGAGTAGTTATAGCCATATAACATGTGACAAGATTAGGCTGCTCTTCCCAGAATATTTATTTGAGCCGTTAAACTCCCCCCTTTAAAACAACGAGATATTTATATCAAATAACTGTCCCCAAAATCTGAAGGGCATTAACCTTAGCGTGTTGCAACACTCTTCCCATAGCAGTTTTGGTTGGCCGACACAAAAAAATACATATGAGCTGAGACTGTATCCCTGAGGACAAGAGGCCATTGAAACTATAGCTCATTTTGCTATAGTGCATATTATATAAGGATTAAGGGACTCAATTCATAACACCTGACTTAATAAAATATCTGGGAAATGCCTATCTTTTTATGTGCAACTACCATTATCAGATCAGTATGAAGTAGTTTCTCTGAATGTGGTCAAATTCTGCTGTGCAGTATGTAAAATTAGGCCAACTTTAACTGTTAATCCACCATCAATCACAATGTATTGTTCTGTCTTTTATTTTTATTTTTTACTATTGTTATTGTTTTAGTTGATTAATTGAACACATGTATTGCAGGAAATGTACTGGCTTCCATCAGGCCTAGATACATCATAATTAAAAATGTTTTAACTTTTCAAGCCCAAATGGTTTCATTCCTAGGAATGTGCAGGATTAATTCCTGACTCATTTGTTTGTCTTGGTTGGGGATATTAAGGATTCCTGACTGACAACAAAGATGATTTGCAGGGGCTCAGAAATAGTGCCTTTCTGTGTTGTGATTCATAGAATCACTTCCTTCTTGAAGTCAGACTGATGTTCCACATCTTGAAATCAGATAGTTTGGGTAGTCTTTTGAGAAGCTGCCTAGATGGAGTTGTGCTTCACGGCTTCCAAAATGTGATGTTCCTCAGTGAGATTTGGTGCTACTATATATTTGTACTTTGTTTTCCTAAATGTTACTATATATGTTCGGTTTTTATTATTGTAAAATACCAGGAGTCATGGAGTCATACAACTGATGGATGGAAAGATAGATGGAAAGAATGGCCTTTGGCCCAGCAACAATTGGGCAAGAACGGCATAAACCACATGCTTGTATATAATATAAGGGGGTTATTATTGTTTTTATTGCTGCCCAAAAGGAAACTAATCTCTTAACACCCCCTTATCCCCCAGAAAATGAGCACATGCTTAAAGCTGCTTACTTGTCAATGCTGGATTTGGTATCTGCAATCTTGTTCAGGCTAGAAATTTTAAAGCCATAAGCATTCCCTCTCTGGCCCTTGTTCATGTAGTTGCCGAAAGCCAAAACCACTTCCAGCAGCTGCTTTAGACTTTTGCTCTGGAATACTTGGATGGAAGCAGTTTGAATTGCTAGAAAGGGCAAATAGAAGAAGATCTGGTCAGACTATACGATGGTGACTAGATAGCACTAATATGTGTTTAATGGAATGATTTACAAAGCAGCTGGAATTTCACAAACAGAAAGGAAGTTACCCAAGAAATGATCACAGAGTTGACAGAAAGGAAAAAAAAATAACAATTTAAAAAAAAAATGAAAATTACAAATGTCATTCAAATAACTCCTTATAAAACAACCAAGTTAGAAAAGAAGGTGAAAAGAGTTAGAAGATTTGCTAATAAAAATGACCATTAAAAAAATCCACTTTGACTAGTCTGTGTGATAATTTTGACACATGTGTTTTAGATCCTAGAACAGAATAACATAGTTGGAAAGTACCTTGGAGGCCTTCTAGTCCGGTGCTTTTTCAACATGTGGTACGCATACCACTGGTGGTACTTCGGCACCTGGCAGGTGGTACATGTACGACAGGTTGAAAAGTACTGTTAAAAAAGTGTTTAAATGTAGCTTAGTTCTAGGTTGCTTCTCTCTTTGACTAGTTTCTGTCCGTTGCTTCTTGTCCTGCCTTCTGGGGCTTTGGAGAATAGATTGACTGTCTTCTTTGTGGCAGCCCCTGAGATATTGGAACACTGCTATCCTGTCACCCCTAGTCTTTCTTTTCATTACACTAGACATACACAATTCCTATTCTATGAACAATTCATAGAACATCTCAACTACTTGATGTTCTTCTCACCAATGGCATTTATCCTTTAATAATTCATCAAATTAAAATATTTATGATTTAAGGTCACAGTCTATTTTCACTAGCATGATATTCCATCCATGTCCCTTGTCACCATTGTTTCCTTCAAAATTTAAAACAAAATTTAAAAGATTTTCCTTGTTTCAAATATTTATTTCAAATATAATAGGAAGGTTCCTTGCACTTTGATTCAGTTCAAAAGAAGTTGGCTTCCTTGAGTGTTTTCATTTTAAGTTTCATCAAACTCTGACTCACAAAACAATTACCCTGAGCCCATATTTTACCTTCAACTTTTGGTTTAACTTCAGCAACTCTCTCAGCAAACTTCTTCTTAAAATATAAGGACTGCAGCCTTTGCTGGTAATGATTTATCCTACAAGAAAAAGGAATAAAATAGTAAAAGCTATGTTTTTCAAGGTTAGTAAAAGTTGGAAGAAAAATGACATGTCTCAGGTTAATCTGCACAGTTGCCTTCTGGAAAGTCAGAGCAATAATCTGCAGAGATTATCATCAACTACTTATTCGGTGACTTTCAAGCTCCATAAAATCTGATGTCCTTCAATTCAACTTACATTTCCTAAAATAACATGGTCAAAACTTGGAATGCAATTTGAAGCTATAAGATTAGAGAAGGTGATCCTATACTTTGTATTCCCACTGCATACGGCAAAGGCAAAAGTGGTTTACAAATCAACATGATTCCAAAAGAAAATACATTGAAATTAAACTAACAATGGAAAATCTTTAGCCTGTAAGCTCTTTAAAGAGCTCTATCTCCCAAAGCTTCCTGTGGCCCTTTTCTCAAATCCTTAATACAAGTGAGGCATGCCTTTCCATATCGTTCATTTTCTGTATTTATCTCTTTCCTCCCTCAAAGTAATAATTACATCAACCAAAT